CGCGGATTGCCCCGGTTCTCCTGGTTGTGTCGCAAAGCATCAATGCACCTGAAACACGCAAAAGCCTCCACTGCACACTCCTCCTCCTCCAGCTCACACAGCTCCCGACATCACTTCACCATCAAAATATGCCTCTTTTCTTCAAATGCAGCCACAAACACGGCTTCCCCACACACAACCTCCACCTCTTCCAACACACCAAATCGCACCACTGCTCAACTTAACTAACACATTCATCCAAGTTACTTACTTCCCCAGAGCAAGAAGACTAGCGTTGATGTTGTTCGCCTCACGCAGACGATGCGCCTGATTAAGCGTTGCTGCCTTCTCACAACGCTCACTTCCCGCCAAATCGCAGAACGTAAGGCTGCTCACGCGAACGAAACGAGGGCTATCCTTGTTGGCGGCACGCATGGCCTTGATCGAAAACAGGCAGTGCGAACGGGAACTGATTTGGTTCAGCTTCGTTGCACCGACTTGCTGACAACACCGACCCACCATCAAAAGCTGACGAGCTTCTTCTGGTGTAGACACAGCGAACCAGCGCAGACCTACAACGTACCCACAAACACCATGTAAATACCCCATTTTAGATACTTTGTTTACGTCATCACCAAGCTCCAATTAATCCTCAATGTCTTAAACCAAATTACTCAGCTTTCACCTTAGACTATGGCATCTCTTCATCCTCCCAGCTACCAGCATTTTCGTCTAAATACGCACCTGCTCCAACGTGTTGCGGAACGCGTTCAGCCGCCTTCTAGAACCTACCACCACCAGCAGCAGCACAACTAATCACACTACACCATCTTCTACTCCGTCACATGCAACAATCATTCTCCCGCACACACTTAATCACATACCTTTCACAAACACGTTCCCCTTTCTGTCCGTCCTCAGTTCCAATGGAGTACGACGAATTCCGCAGGGTCCAACTCCGCGCAATTGATTACCTCCTGTCGAATTCGCCCTCACTGCTACCTGCGCCACATCCGGATCCAGCAAGTCATAAGCTATTTCATTGTAGATCTCCACAAAGCTTATCCAAAAGCTGTACGCAAATGACTCTTTGCAGGTAACAGATACCCTAAGATCCTCTAAAGACTCCTCACTATCGGATGGTCGCTGTGATTCCCAGTTTTGCGCACAAGTCCTTGATGACTAAGCAATTAAAATACACAAAACAACAACATACACTTTCGACGGTCTTTGCAAGGCGCAATAGCAGCGCCTTCTCACGGGACACGACCTCCCCTTGTTCATCCGTCAATCCACATAACTCGTCGCCACCTCTGGGAATCAGGCGTGAACATGCATTTACGTTCACGCTATTGAACAAACACTGCAGGGTACGTGGAATCACACCACAATCGCGCCTATTACCTGCACAAGACGCACGTTACTAATCACACATCAACGCTACCTTGCAGTGTATATGTTTTTCCCGAGCTCGTGGTACCATAAGCGAATACCAATCCATTGATACCTTGGAGTAATTCACTCACGCGGTCAGAGACCACCTCCTTGAATATAGTCGACTGACTTGTGGTCTCATCAAAAACACGTGAGAACGAAAATTCGTGCGAAGACTGACCAAATTTGAACATCGCACTCCGCGTGTTTTTTTCATCTCTCGACGGTCTGATTATGACTGCATTTGGACCTCGGGTAAACACCACTTTCGTTGACGATTCTCCAGGATTTAGTGGTCTAACGCGCAGGAACACCGGCATTTGCTCATTTTTAGGAGCTATAGTGCACTCCCCTTCGTCGAATTCTTCGAGCAGATTTCTGTTAATAGCTTCAAAATTGAATGAAGGATGCAGGCCGAAAGATGGATTGCGAGGACAAAGAAAAGACAGAGCCTCGGCCATTCGAATTGTAACTGGAACTTGGGAAATCGTAATGCGCGCTTTGGACTAATCTACTTTGTTTCAGTTTGATTAAAAGTTTTTTAATTTGTTTCAGACTGATCACTGTTTTGTTTTCAGATTTAAAATGATGGCTAGACATATTATTTTTCGAATAATAGTGGGTAACTGATGTTTTCGCAGATGCTTATTGTTTGAAATGTTATGATCACATTGTCCTGTTTTCGTCAATTTATTTTTGCTTGCAATGATTCCCAAACAAAACTATTTTTCTCCTATTTTAAAATTGCATAATACACCTTAACTTAAAAAAAACTGATGATCATGTATCATTATTCCATGTTTGTTAGTACATGTTGACTAAATAATATTTTGATGTATTATTTCAGGTATTAATGCGCTGGTTAAATTATCGACTCAAGTTGGTTGCCCAAGAAAGCGTTTAATTTTCTTACTTTGAAATATTTTCTTTATATTTTAGGGTTTTTTATCTGCAGCATGTTCAGCATTAACAAAGTTCCTTACGGCTACCCTCTGTTTCATCACATTTACGCTATCGCAAAATTCCCACCTCACAATTAGTTCACTCTGTCTAACAATCAAACAAGATAGCCCTTTGCCTAAAAAAACACCGTTTCCTTTTTTTGTAAACTTAAATTCAAAGTTGCAATTATTTTTTAAAAAAAATAAATCATCTCGTGATGCTGCCACAAATGTTTGCCCGTGTTTGGCATTTCAATTTGCGATGGCAAAGTTCAACTTGCGAAATGTTGGAGACAGTATAGAAGAAGCAATAATGGGAATTTTACTAATCTTTGTCCTTTTTTGAAGGCAAAATTTTGGTTTTTCTTAGTGGAAAATGTGGTACATTTTTCATTCGACAGAAAGTTAGATGCATTAAAGCTATCTTGATCGTTAAAATTAATTTGTCATCAGTTAGTTAGCAGTGATAATTTTTTGCCTTTTAAAAGTTGAATTTTCGGTGCACAAAATATTTTAATTTTTCAGATCAATTTCAAATATTTTCTTACTACATTATATATGATTCTTGAATCATGCAAAGAGGTATTTGGAAACATATAATAAGTGGAGGAGATGTAGTAATGAATCATGGTGAATCACGTCCACCAATTTGGCTGCTACATTCTACACCACCCTACCCCCTATTGATCTTGTTAAACCGTCTGGTCAAACATCGACGTGCGTGTATCACTTGGCCTGGCTATTCGGTAACTTTTTCTTATACAGTATGACAACCCCATTAACTCAGAAACGTTTCTGCACATTGACGCCGCTTACACGACTTGATTGAGCTGTCGTTTTGGCCATTTCTAGTTTTCCAATTGCGTTTTGGTTATTTGAGTTGCGTCCAGGCGTGTTACGCGATCACATGTCACCGCTCACGACAAAAGGTGATTCAAATATGCACAGAATACTTTAAAATAACGTAGGTTATAGATAAGTCGGTTGCATTAAATATGACTTGGGGATCAACATAATTGCCTTTTTTCCAATCCACAAGTCATAAACTATGGGTCCAAGTTAGTTTCCTAAAAGCTATGCCAAAAAAGCCAAAAACCAAAGCCATTTTGCACTCAAGGGACAGTCGTTGGTGAACATGACAATCCCCAGTGGCGTGTGTAAAAGAAAACACCACAAAAATGCAGTGGACGTGTCGCCAAATTGCATTCTCGCTAGACGAGATATACAAAGTGTAATCGGCAGCGTCAATATCGCTGAGGCTCAGAGTGACTGAAATTAATAATAATAATAACATCAGTTGATGAAAACATTATTTTATATCAAAATCGGCAGCATATTTTGCAATTCGCCAAGTTCATTAGGTTCTTAGAATGTGGCTGAAATTAACCTAATTCACCTGGCACAAACTCCAGCTAACAAATCAGTCAGAATCAAAACCAGACCCCAGACAT